TTTGAGGATTTTATTTCGAATTATATTTTTGGTCTATTTACCAACATTGGAGCATTATTTCAATTTGATAATCAATATACAACAAATATTGTTAATTTGTTGAGATTTTATAATTTTTTCAATATACCTATTGTGTTTCATTACGTTAAAATAATTTACAGGAAGTTTTTAATGCCAATTTTTGTCATCCTATATGTAAATCTTACAACGATGAAGAGAATTAGAGTTGTCGAAGTACTTTTTGTGAATGTTGTCACGGTTTATTTCGGGCTTTATTTACTTTTTTTTGTATTTGGAAAGCTTGATAGAGATTGTGTGTTATTTTTTATTTAAAATAATAACTATAATTTATTGAAAATTTAAAGTATAATCAAAAACAATAAAATATAAATAAACTAAAAAATTACAGAATAACCATTTTTGTTGCCGGTTTTTTTGTCATAAGCTAGTTTGAAATCAATACACTGTCATTTAGCATGTTCAGAAGTTTTATACTTTTTAACAGAAAAATATTTAGATTAACGTTTATTATTTTTATACCATTTAAATGACCAACTATTTCTAGAATTAACAAAACATATTCCATTATATCCGCTAGAATTATTTTTTCTTATATTGCAATTGAGATTATTTTCTTTATAAGTAGTTTCTCACAAATTAATTTCTCGATTATCAGATCCATTTTTGCTTATATGATCGATCATTTTTCATTCAGGATGAATTAATCGATGAAGTAAATAATTTTGATTTTTATTCTTGTATTTGATGATTTTTATAATCATAATATGGAATTCTCGACTCTGTTGACATTAATCGTAAACAAACCACATACTGTGCAGAAAAAAGGCGGACATCTGAATTTTTGTTCGTTTGTGAATGTGTTTACATCGAATACATCTTTGCGAAATCAATATGTCTATTTCAAAGATATTCCATATTTTGGGAATGAGACTGTTAAAATAGAAAACAAAAGAAAATATTCTTCAATATATAATCGATTCGATTATATTATTGAATACAAAAAGTTTAGAAATGATGATGCGCTCCCTTGTGCTTTTGAGTGTCTTTGTTGTTCGGTAAAAAGAATTTTTCATAAGGGCTTGTATGAAAATTTTATTAACCTTCGCTTTGACATTAAATTTAACTCTGATGTTACTCTCAAACAAATTGCTTACATAACTGGAGAACATAATTCAATCGAAGAAAGCAATAGGATCCAATACTATAACCATAATTTTAAATCACAAGACAAATTTCAATTAACAGATCGTAGGATTGAAAATAATTTAGATGTTGATACAATCGTATATCCTGAAGTAAGAAAAAAATTAGAAAGTAGATTACATAGAACTAAAAGAAAAAGAATTCGATTTAAAGGTTACAAAGAAGATAAAATTGATTATGAAATTGAAG